CCCCAAAACCCCAAAACCCCAAAACCCCGGGTGCTAATTTAAGATTGATTCATGAATCTAGTCAATTAGTTTAAACTGCGAATTCTCATTTGGATTCTCATTCTTTCCCAGTTGATATTCTATTGCTGTAATTTGGCAATGTACTGCAAGTTCGGGTTCGGGGCGGGGGTGTGGATTTCGGAGAGATGCAGGCTGAGGTTTGATGAATATTTTCGAACTAAGGTGGGTGTTATATTGCTTATTTTGCTTTCCTCATGAATATGGAATCTTCTTGGGTTCTCTCTCATTATGTTGGGAAAAGGTAAATTTTGAACTTTCGTAGTAGATTTAAGTTTTTGAATGCGAGAAATGATTGATTTGATTAAAAATATGAATCAAACAATGCTTCCTATAATTGGGGAAGCCATAAAAATTTTGATGTAGAGACCTTCATAAAATGAAGTCCACCTTGACTTTGTTTGTAACCAAGATAATGGAACAGCAAGAAAGCAGAATAAGACCTGGTTAACGCATTCAACGATATTATCTTGAGGGTTATCATATGGCCTGACAACCAGGAGATACCCTCCATAAGCAATGTTTATTAAGTAAAATGCTGTCGCCTTGTAGAATGATGGAATAGTTTTCCCAAAAATAACAAGAGCAACTAGCATAACTCTGAGCATCAAAAAGATAGTCGTGTAGAGTTTAGAGTATTTGCCATCTTTAACTCCATTGAAGAACTCCTTTCAAGCCCAGTATTTCTCACTGTCTATTTTTGGAAACGATTTTTTATACATGTACAGTGATAGGATCAGCAAGCAAAGTCAAATCATAGCGGTAGCTATGCAGAATCCGAACGAGATTTTCACCGTTGTTGTCTTCAGGTTTAACGAGTACATTTCGGAAAAAGTGCAGAGTATTGTGAACATAAACGCCTGGATGAAGGTCCGAATGTAGATGTTGAAGGTAAAGAATTCAAACAGTTTATTGAAGAACTTCTTGCATTTCTCGCGTTCAGATTTCCTTGCTCATTTTGTAAATAGATAAACTCAGATATGTCATATTACGAGCAAAATAGTGAAGGATATAAGGGAAAAATAGTTCACAAGAGAACTTCCTGAGCTCATCCCTATATCTTCCAAGTATTCATCGGTCTGTGGATATCTGACCCAGTTTGTGATAGTTTTAATAAAAGGAATATCTTTGAGATGAATAAAATCCAATGAAAGCATTGCAAAGCCCATTCCATTCAAGAAATCTAAAACTTTGAGTGAAAAATACTCTGGAACGAGTGGCAAAAGAATTGCAAGTTGCAGGCTATTCATCATACAGAAAATTGAGTTGACCGAAGTAAAGGAAAGAGCAGATGAGGAAGCAGAAATTATCATACTTGCTCCAATAAAAGCAGTGGCAGTCTGTGTAGCACCAGCTGGAGCATTTTCAGCAGGAGATTCGACTTTGGAACATAATGTTTGTCCATCAGAGCTTTGATATCCATCCGATCAGGCCTCTCAAGTGATGTGGTTGCCCAGTGTTCATCGATCACAATTCTGAATGGATCACTCTTCTACAGTGATCTCAAATTTCTTGTAGTGAACTTCACTACTAAAGGAGATCTGCAATGAGAAGTAAAAAGTCTTCTTTTCGGCCAATTTAGGGGTGGCGTTTAGGTGCAATTCTTGGTTACCTGCATCTAACTGCACCCACTCGGGTATCGTATTTGAGCCAGTTTGAGTCAGACTGAAGCTGATGCCAGCGTAATTCGTAGACTGAGCTCAGGCTCAGGTGAATTTCAATTTCACCGAAGTGTTGCTCTGGATTGTCTGGAGGTAGTCTTGATTCCACAAAGCCACGTACGTGGTGAACGAAGGATTGGTTGAAGATGTGATGTCAGTGGTCGTGATGGACGATGAAGTTGAGATAGTAAGAGTCCTCGTGCTTGTGGTGAGGCTTGGGTTTGATGTTGTTGACGACACCTGATAGGAAGTGGTAATTGGACTGAACAGAGGAGTGTCTTCTTCAAACTCAGAAAGTTGTCCAATGTTGTTTGTGGGCGATCTAGCTAAGAAGAATGTGTAATTGGTGTTTATTCTTCCAGAATGAAACATTAGCTCTTCACCTTTATATAACAACCTTCCAACTGCATAAGCCAGCGAGCTCACCGAGTTGTACTCCTTCACAACTTCTGCGGCCGAGGGGGAGACCAGAACCAACCTTTTGAGATTCGATAATGAGGAACTGTAAATCTGAATGGCAATGAAATCACTGAACTCTTTCATTCAGTAACTAGCATAATACCCACTGTCGTTCCAAATCAGCCCTGAGCTTTGGGGACTCCCATCGGTGGTGCTGAGTTTTTGGAAAATAAAGTTGCCATCGTACAGCACCATTGTGTAGACCCACTCTTTATCTCTGCTCATCAGAGAGCTGCTGAATTTGTTCACTCAGCCCGAAGTGGGGCAGGCAATGCTCTTCTTCCAGGCCAGGCTGGAGGAGGAGAAGTTGTAGCTCACCAGGTAGTATTGGTCGGCTGCTGTGTCAGTTGATCCAAAGAACAGCAGATCGGCACTGATTGGGGCCAAATTGGCCTGACTGTTGACTCCGAAAGTGAATCAGTCGAGATTGGTATTTGTCATGTTCCATCTGCAAGTGTGCATGATTGAGCTAATGATGAGGCTGAAGAAGAAGCCTTCACTCACTTCCATGTTTGTATTCCAATCCACTGAGGCAGAGCTAACTGACAACTCCCTGGAGATGACCAGGTCTGAAGTCCTGACCTCGAATATCTTTTCCGTAGTACGGTCTTGAATATAGATGAACTCCCTGTTTGGAGACATGGCATAGGAACGGAAGTTGCAGTAGATATCATAAGTCATCACTTGCACTTTGGCCAGGGCAGGGTCCGACTTGTAGATTATTGTGTCCCATGGAGATGAACCAAAATACCCAATAAAATAGAGTAATTCATTGCCTTGGTCTTCCAAAATATCCAAAAGATATACATCAGTAAGTCCGGCCATTCCGAAACTTCCAGAGAGAGGAGATCCTGCAGTCTGGGTATCGTTCTGACACACATTGGCGGTTACAGCCGTGATACATAAGATTAAGATACGTAGATATCTCATTTTTAATATTATTAATAATATAATTCTCAACTATTTATTTGGCGTGGGGTTTTGGGGTTTTGGGGTTTTGGGG